CCAGATAAAATTGCATTCTAATTGCCTGTGTGCCTCGGTCCTATTATTTTGCCAACAACAGTTGTTATACAAAAAGCATGAATGAAAGCATGCAAGTATGGACAGGCACACGGCTAACACATTACAGATTTCAAGAAAACCCACACGTAAAACGCACCATCATATTCTTGAAAGCAAAGCAGTTCAGCTGAATTCTCCCGTTCAGTCCTTTTTCACACAACCCACAACCGTAGTTATTCTGCCAAAGGTGACAATTCTGATTTCTTGGGGTTTTTAAAAAATCTTTATTTAAACCAATAAATTACAAAATTCATATAACAAACATTAGATAACAAATGCAAATATACAAATACAGTACATAAAGGAAATTTCAAATAGAAGAAGAAGAAGAGAAGAGATTGGATTCATACCCCACCCTTTACTACCCAAAGCTTTTCCGCCTTGAAGCAGTTCTTACTTGCCACTGGCGAGCCGATGTAAGGCTGTGTGCAGATCGAGGTGTATGAATGCATCTTCAAGGAGCTGTTGACATTAGGGCTGCTCGTGCGGTTGCCAGCTCCAGGTTGGGAAATTCCTGGAGATTTAGGGGCAGAACCTGGGACAGGTGATATTTTTGGAAGGGAGGGATATAATGCCATAGAGTTTACCCTCCACAGGAGCTGTTTTCTCCCAGGAAACTGATCTTTGTCATCTAGAAATCAGTTGTAATCTCAGGAGATCTCCAGGCCCACTTGGGGGATGGCAACCCTGCCCCCAGGGAGGACCAGCGTATGCGTAATACTGCCTGGTGGAGTTTTGTCCTGTGACCAATGCTCCCTCTAAGCTGTGAACATGAGAACATAAGAGATGCCAATGTTGGAACAGGCCAAAGGCCCATCCAGTCCAACACTCTGTGTCACACAGTGGCCAGAAATACCAGTGCCATCAGGAGGTCCACCAGTGGGGCCAGGACATTAGAAGCCCTCCCACTGTTGACCCCCACTTTGTGAGCTACTAGCATTAAAGTTGTGAGCGAGTGATTCGGCGGCTGCTTTAACTAGTTTGCTCTGGAGCCATCATTCCTGAGCTAAGACAAAATGTGAGCCGGAGACTAAAAAACTGTGAGCTAGCTCACACTAACTTAGCTTAGAGGGAACACTGCCTGTGACGGTCTCGTTTTTGTTCCCTCTTGTTTAAATTTTATTGTCCCATCTGCTTTGAGATGTTCTCCATACAAGCGCCACAGCCCACAGTTTCGTAATCAGATCCTTGTGGTGGTTGTGTGATGCGAATCGCCCCTCTTTGAATGTGGTGTTTCTTTTTTCCTCTTTTCCTGCTCCCTTTCTCTCCTTCAGGTGTGAACCGCCACTTTCATATGATCTGCATCAGGGATAAATTCAGTCAGAATATCGGGAGGCAGATCTCTTCCAAAGTCATCTGGGATCATCTCAGCACGATGTACGATATGCAAGCCCTGGTGAGTGCGGCCCGCCAAGAAACGGAAGCTGGTGCTCGCTGTTGATCTGCCTGTTGGAGACCTAGTGCCGTATCTAATGCGGAGTGCCAAGTAGGATTAAACCGTGATAACCTTTCTAATCAGCAGTTATTACAAGTTCATTTTGTGTATGTGTGTGTGGTGTGTGTGTGAACAGCGCAATACATATAGCCTGTGAAAATGATAAGTAAATTTCATAGGAAACTACGATCTTTGTTCCTTCTTGTATAAAAACCCAAAGCCTTTGAAAAATTCATCGGCCGGAACTAAGTCCTTATAGGCAGAAAGTTCATCAAATGGGAATAGTCTTCTTAAGGAGAAGAAGATACATTTCACACCTCATTAGTGTAGCCTATCTTCTTCTCCTTTTAATTAAATCAAAACAACCGTTGGCCTTATAACCTTAGCTTGTTGTTTAGTTTTGACTTTGCATATCTTAAAGCAGGGGTGTCAAACATGTGGCCCGGGGGCCAGATCAGGCGCACAGTGGAACTGGCTGTCTTCTGCTGCTGCTTCTTCCAGTTCTGCTGCCGCTGCGTCATCGTAGGTTTGCAGCTTACAGATACACACCTGAATGGCATACTCAAGATTGCAACAGCACGGACATTTTTATTTATTTATTAAATTTCTACCCCGCCCTCCCGCCGAAGCGGCTCAGGGCGGCTTACAAACCATTTAACCAACATACAGTTAGAACCAACAATTACACATATTAAAAAAGTACCATAAAATCCCATCTTGTGATAAAGTGCTAGTGCGACACCACTGGCATAGTCAGTTCTTACTGAAACGCTTGGTGGAATAGCTCCATTTTAACTGCTCTACGGAACTGATGGAGGTCCCGTAGAGCTCTGATCTCCTGAGGGAGCTCGTTCCACGGCGTTGGCACCGCCAGGGAGTAATTTTGATGCAGTGATTCAGAGCAAGAGGTGTCAGTTATCAGACGCTGTTAAATAAACAAAATATTGCAAGAGTGTTAATGTTTTAAGCATGTTTTTATTTTAAGTAAAAAAAACCCACCTTTGTGTTTGTGTCCTTTATAAAGTTTATATCTCCGCTACCTGGCATCACTTTTTCTGACACACATGGCCCGGCCCAACAGGGTCGCATTTACGTCAGATCCAGCCCTCATAACAAATGAGTTCGACACCCCTGGCTTAAAGCATCTCCATCATGTTACATGTTAATTTGCTGTCCAGCCTCTGTCTATAAGTTTGAACTCTAGCTTCTCTTCCAATGTATTTGAAAAAGAGTGCATGCACACGAAAGCTCATACCTTGAATAAACCTCTGCTGGTCTTAAGGGTGCCACTGGACTCTAAATTTGTACTGCTGCTTCAGATGAACACGGCCGACCAACTGGAACGGTTTCCTTCTCCTTAAGAACTTGTAAGAATTGTTGATTAGTAAGGTTATCACGGTTTAAATCCTACTTGGCACATATGTTGCTGTGATTCTCTCTCTTTGTTTTATATCTAATGCTGAAGCTGGTCCCCATGTGGATCGATAGAGCCAGAGAATGGGGCCAGGTTCAGATCAGGGACGTTCCCGGGGCATTCCCCGGGTTTGCAGAAAAATGTGAAAACCTCAAAAAAAATGGAACGGGAATTAAATCTCCAAAGAAAGGGCTGTTGCCTGCACTTTCCTTGGGGTGGCTATGGGGCAGGTAGATGATCTGGAGCTGCCTGAGCTGAGTAGGAGTGTGTGTGTGTGTGAGAGAGAGAGAGAGCGTGCTGAAGTTGCCTCTGTACATGCTGGCAGATGGGAGAGGGGATCTAGAGCTACCACCCACTGTGGGCAGCTGGGCTGACTGCTGAGTGGGTGACCCAGCAGGTGGTAATGGTGTCAGGTTCCCAGCCAAATCACTCTCCACGTGCACTTTTGCAGTGAATGCTTTAATTAGGGATATGAGATGCTGTGGGTACAAGCTCTTTGTTAGGACTGATTTGCAAAGGCAGGAGAAGACAGGATGTAGGTGAAACCCCAAAATTCCACACACAATGTTACTACAGTGACTATGAAAGATATACAGTCACTATCTAGCCAGGCACAGTCTTCTCCAAGGACACTTCTCGTGTGAAAGATGTCTTGGGGCCCGTTTAGGAAAATTACCAAGCAATCCCCCCTAGCTGACTACTCACACTGCCCCCCCCCCCCCCCCCCCCGAGGAATGCAATGGCAAACAAGAGCAGTGATAAGGGTACAGAATACAAGCAGTACAATTCAAGGAATTCAGATGCTCACGTTTGACAAATGGGATCCCTCCCCCGCCAAGTTTCGCAGGTCCCTGCTTCTTCTAATGTATTTCGGATCTATCCGGCCTGCATACCCCTTCCATCTTTGTAGGCTCCCACCAAATAGCATTCCAGTATATACGACAGATGGACTCGCATTCTAGCTATATCTGAAGAAGTGAGCAGTGACTCACAAACGCTCATACCTCCCCCCACCACCACCACAAATTTGGACTTTAAGGGGTTACTGGACTCTTGCTCTTTTCTGCTACCAAATAGCACGTGTCCCATAATGTCGCTCCATTGCTGAATGATCGTTCATATCCAGTTAAAAATGAAGCAGGGAGTTTGCAGGTACTTTTCTTGTAAAATGATCTAAACTGATGCAATTGTGCTGTACAATTTCATTTTCTCATAGGTAATTTAAAAAAATATATATATAATAATTTAAAAGCAG